TCCAGAGTAGGGGTGAGGAACCTTTTTTCTGCTAAAATTTATAACATGGATCATATCAAATTATCAACTTAAAAATTAGTCTGTTATATTTTGTTGTTCAGTACCGTGGAGTCGGTTCTGATTCATAGTGACCCTGTACAGGGTTTCTGAGGCTGTATATCTTTACAGGAGCAGAAACCTCATCCTCCTCCTGCAGAACGGTTGGTAGTTTCGAACTGCCAACCTTGAGGTTAGGCAGCCCAATTCGAAATGTTTAATTAATTCACCCTTAATGTGATGGCTGAAACTGCAGTTGCCTTGGCAGGGCCAGACTAAATGATTTCGAGGGCCTTATACGGCCCACAGGCCAGACGTTCCCCACCCCAATCTGTTGTTAAGCTCTGTCAAGTTGTTTCCAACTCATAGAGACCCTGTATAGGGTTTCCAAGGAAGGGCTGGTGAGTTTGAACTGCTGACCTTTCAATTCAAACCGACCTCTCAGTCCAGTGCTTATTCTACAGCACCACACCAGGACTCCCTCTCCTGATATAGAGCACCATTTTCATATTAGTTTTATACCAAAGGATGAGGAAAACTGAGGCCCTATAGGGTTAGCATTTCGAATCCCCTAGCCACTCTGTGGGAGAAAGAGAGGCTTTCTGTTCCAGTTAAAGATTTATAGCCTCGGAAATCCTGCACAGACAGGGTCACTATGAGTTGGAATCGACTTGATGGCAGTGGGTTATTTTTATTTTTATTATTCCTTCTGCTAAGATACCTGTTCTCTTATTTTTCCTCAGGATCATTAAAACCAGTATATTCTACTCCTTTCGCTCTAGCCATTAGAGTTACTAAGTCTATTAATGATTGATGATCTTAATGGTAATGATGTTATTAAGTGCCCTCGAGTTGATTCCAACTCTTAGCAACCATGTATATAAGGTTTCCAAGGAACGACTGGTGGGTTTCAATCACTGACCTTACGACCAGTGCCTGTCCTACAGTGCCACACCAGGACTCCCATGAATTATGACAGTACTTGAAAATTTTTTATTTCACTATAGAATTTAAGTTGTTCTATAAAATTATAAACAACGAATTTTAGATGATGTAAACAGTTTTACATAATTTCAAAGTAAATACCCATCACCGAGAACCATGAAAAAAGAAATGTCCTGTACCAGTATTCTAAATGTTTATACTTACCAGGTTGTAGATAACTTTGTCCTTTGATGTTCAAACCAGAGTTTGTTTGTTTTCCAGAACCATATGTCTACTGTTTTTATAACCAATTTTCTTGGTAATTTTAACTACTAGAATACTTTGATGAGAGGTGTCATAATATCCAAAGTTCCCATTAATCATCAGAAAGAGTTTATTTACTCTATTACTTGAACTCTGATAATGTAGTGGTTATGAGTTGGAAAGCTAACCTCAAGGTCAG